GCGTCATTACGGTGCGTAGATTTGACGAAAAACACCAATACAAATATCAAGCCGTAAAAAAAATTGCTCAAGGCTGCAAACTCCACATCCATGTAGAAATGGTTAGTAATGACCCCTAGATGAATAATCACACATAAATAAAAAAAACTTTATGTCTGAAATCAAACTTGGGCCAAAAAGATCCCCTTATCTGCCGGACTATATTATGAGATCCAGGCGACAAGACGCGTGTGGTTCATGTGGATAATTTGCGACCTTTTATTCACGAAGAGACCCAGGAACCAAGTGCTTGCTTAGATGATAGCCCGAAAACGACGGATTCTGGGGTACACACACCGAAAGAGGCGGATACTGAGGTTCACACACCGGAAGAAGCTGATCGTCAGCTTTGTGAGGAAATAATACCTTGGTATGAGTTGCCCAATCCAGAAGGACAAACTTTACGGATGTCTAAGCGTGAGCGTAGACAACCTGCATATTTTAAACTTTGTGTAAATATTTTGTTTTGACTCTGCTTCTTTCTTTGTTTAAAGTTTTCTAATGAAGATGAAAACATTCTTTCATGGTTCCATCTAGAAGAGGGGGGTAATTTGACGACCTCCATTTTATCTTTTAAATGATGTCATGTGATAATATTGCTATATTTTGTATTTTTAACATTGAAAACATCCCACTGTAGATCTGTCCTTTGGGGTTCTGTCGGCCTATGCTGTGGTTTGCAGCAGTGCAGTTGTGGTTGTTTTAGTTGGATTTTTAGTGTTTTAGGTTTTTCTTGTGTCTGTTGAATTAATGTTAGTTCATGAGAAGGGTACCCAGGGTGTTTAATTTTGATTTTATGGTTTATGATGGGTTTGGATATTCTAATATTGGTCATTAAGATGATTTTATTGTTTGAGTGTAGTGCAATTGCAATTGTCTTGCTATAGGTTGTACTACGGAAGTAGTCATTGTCAATGCTGTTCAAGTGTTGTGTATCTTTGTTATTTTTGTTGTATCCTTTCTGTTTTGTTGATTTCATTGTAGTATTTGGTTGTATTAAGATTGATGATTAAGAAATAGAATAAAATAGCATAACTTGAAGTGAATATTGAGAACAAACTTGACGTCAGACCATATTGGAAGATATTCTGAACTTGGATAATTATTTCATAGACTGCCGATACGCTACAAATATTTGGCGAGACCACGCCAGGATATCTTCTAAACATAATATGCCACGCAGAATTAGAAAGAACGCTCAAATGAAGAGAGAGGAAGACTTTGGTGGTCGAATTGAAGGTACGGATAATTATCAATCCAAGCAGCAATTAATACAACCAAATACTCTAAACCAACGGAAAGCATACAATAATAATAACAGATACCAGGCAGTAAAATATAAGAAAGCAATATACACCATAAAAACACTGACGGCCCCTGAAATCGAAGACACTTTCAGTAGAAGCCACTTGACCTCTAGAACCCGGTACACTAAACTAGCTTCTACAATTTGCAATTCAGGCTGAAAATAACTTATGACAGGCATTTCGAAAGACTATAAACAATTCTATATGTGCACAACATTTTAACAGTATTGATGATAGCTTATTCCATGACAACAACCAAAAATACAACACTAAATGAACTGCAATGACACTGCACGCAAACAGCAACATGGTCCCAACATCAGCTCACTGTCCAGCACAAAAACATCCAACCAATCCCAACAGTCACTAAACCACAAACAAACAATCCCGATGAACCACCGGACACCAGAGGCACTCCCACAGACACAAAACACCTAAAATCCAACCGAAACAACCACACTCAGACAACTGCACCCTGCCAACCCACAGCACACGCCAACAGGCCGCACCCAAAAGAACAGATCGACAGTATTACAGCGCCCCCAGCGTCCCCAATGTCAAAATACCAAATATGGAAACAATATCACTTGACATCATTTAACAGATAAAACAAGGGTCATCACATGGTGAAAGATTTTTTGGATAAAGATGATCCAATTATTTAATACTCATCTCCAATTATTGAGGTATGGAGAAGAAATATTGAAACGAACAATCACCGGACTGGGTTTCTAGGGATAATGGCGTCCATACTTCCTTTGCTGGAGAAATAATCTCTTCTCCGGTGCCATTTGTATTAGTATCCTCTCTACTACCGGTATTAATTTTGTTGTTTGACTCTAGTGTACTGGTTAGAATATTTTCGTTTATGACATTAGATATATCCAGTGGTGGGATTCAATTTTTTTGACAGCCGGTTCCATCACAAAAGTATTATTTTACACCCAGTTCTGTTACAAAACGTTGATTGTTTCAATTGTGCATTGACAGTAACCGGTAATGCTAACCGATTCGCCGATCTCATGAAATTTCGTGAGACGGTTTTATAGAACCGATTATAGAAGTCAGAAACGAATATATTACAGGCCAATTAAACAAGAAGACAAATCATAGTTCATAGTGTTTTCTAATGAGATGGATGAGCTTGGTGGCCTCCAGCGAGTTTTTTAATATTTGGCGACATTTCGTCAGGCGCAACCTCAAATCACCCCGTTTACTGAAGGAAAGGCGATTTTGTTGTTTCGATAGCAACAGTGGCACGACTGAAACCCCTTTTTCACTATACAAGAGACCGGAAATAAAAGAATCCAAGATTCTACTTCCTAAAAATCGACGGGTACTTGCCTGATGACCTGCACCAAAATACATTATAACGATCTTCGGTAAAATTCATCTTCGAATCCCCATCATGTACCACGACCTCCAGTCCATATAATTAATCAGATATTTGTTTGTTTCAAGTTCATGGACTTGATAGTGGGGGAAGCCGTAACCGACCATCGGTTACGCCAGGGGTCGGCAACCTTTTGTGCTCGCGGGCCAAAATCAAGGGTTGCAAGTCTTTGCGGTCCGCACATATTTTTAACGGAACGGAAGTTAATAACGGAACAGCGCGTGAAGTCTGCGGCAATCCGTGAACTCAACTTAGTCGTTTTATTGAAAGAAAAAAATTACAAATGACATTTATTGTGACACTGTCTTGTTGCTGCTTCACGTTTGATAGCATTTCGAAATCGGCGGCACACTGAAGCCAAATTGGAACATTTTCTAAATAGGCATCACTAATCCCAGTTCTCTACTTGTTCACCGTAACGTTCATTTTCGAAAATAATTGTTCGCACACATATGTGCTTCCAAACATCGATGGGAATTTATTGGTTTGGTTTGTCAAATTTTGATAGTTAATTTAATCCCTTTTTTTTATAAAAATCAAGCAGTGATACATCTTTCTAATCGAATATGAATTTAATTTCCTAATTGCATCGCATCTCAAGGAGGCTCATTTGGATAATTACTGATCTATTGAACCCCTGCACTCAGCATCAACTATTCTGCGTGTTGCCCATTCGTTTAATTATAAACGAGTAGCCGTTCACTAAATTGTTAGATTATAATATAATTTAGCCTAAACGTGTCTCACAATAAATTCTGTTACGTAAAAAATATGATCTACCCCCTCGAGCGTAGATTATAAAATTAATTCATCGTCCAAACCGCCGGTTTGTCGCTATAATTCAGTGAAGCGTCGTGGGCCGGAATATTTAACTGGCCCGCGGACAGTAGGTTGTCGACTCCTGGGCTACGCGAACTACCTTACAACCGGGAGCAGTCCAGCAATTCTCTCGCGTGTGATTATCGCCCACGGGATTCAAACCTGCAAACGCACGCAGATTACAGTGATCAAGTACATGATGCGCCAGTCACCGAACAAAAACAGGTTTTGCGAAATCTCCCCTTCGGCTTTTCCGCCCCCCTTCTGTATCGTTTTCGCCCACCGAGGGGCGATATCACCCCCTTTGGGAATCACTGGTCTAGAACAGTGTTTCCCAACCTATGGTTCCCGAGCCAAACTGGGTCGTGTGAAAATCACATGGGTCGCTTGTTTTTCCAACGAAAGCTCGAAGTTACCTATTTCATTTTCTATTAGATTTTATCGTTTATTTTTTATTTGTATTGAAGTGTTGTTTAAGATTAGTTGTATTTAAGTATCTCAGCATAAAAACTTGACAGCATCTATTTTGCTTAGGTGAACCTACGCTACGATTTCAAAAACTAGCTGATTGCTAACAAGCGCAATTGGTTTCTCACTTTGCGAGATATACATGTCGTATAAAAATGATTGTTTTATATTAGTCATTAAAGCACTACATGCCATTCAGTATATGTGATTATATCATTGGGTCGAGAGGACTTACAAAATTTATATATTTTTTTAAATTTGAGTCGTCGACTGAAAAAAGAATGGGAACCCCTGGTCTAAAAATATGAGATGACAATCACTGATCGTATTTTCATGAGCCATGGAGATATAATCAAAAAAAGTTTTGCTCGGAGCTCCTCTCCATAAGATACCATCCGACCAGCCGAAAATTAAACAGCCGAAAGACGCGTGTAACAGGAATATCCGGTCCCTATTCGACTACTAAACTAGATTATACAGAGAGATCGCTGATAACAATCAACCAGAACACTTTCGACATTCATAAAAAATGACTTGCAACAGATTAGTTTTGAAATGGATGTAGATTTCCTTTAATACCGCTGTTTCTTCGCAACAAATCATTGTTGCAATACGATTTTCACTACATCAAAACATTGGAATGACATTGTCACAGATTTCCCTTTGTCTGTTCGAGTTGCTACACTGTTCATTTGAAGAATGTACTTGTTGCTCACTTCAATTGTGCATTTTGACCGTGTCTAGTCCTTCGTATTAGCTGGCTTAATGGAAGATGTACACAAAGCGGGAACTAGCTGGGTGCAAACTTGTATACAGAAAATTCACTCATTCTTCTGATATGGTATCGCAACCCACGCAGATGCCAATACCCAAACCTAATGTTATCATTCAACCCACAATACTGGTGCATTCGATTATCTAGAAATGTCCACCAATATTAACCTTTCCGACCACGAAATGAAGATCGGAAGATATATATATATATATAATACCACCTGTATTTGAAATTGTGATTCTAGCAGTGTAATTCAATCAGTAGTAAAATTGTGTCATTGGATCTGTCATGTCGCAAAGCTTCTATATTATATTATATTTTGCAAATTTTAAACATGCAGTTTTGTAAGTCAGAAACGACATAAAAATACATATTTTACAATCTCATCCTTAAAATTAAAGATGCGTCTGGATATACGATATTGCAATTAATGGGCATCTATGTTCTTTTATCAACGAACAGTACGGGAATGTTGTTGGCGTTGTTATTACGAGTTGGATATAGCACAATCTAGTAGTTTCTTTGTAGTTGAATTTTTTGAAAATATAATATGACTATACAATATTCAACCAATCGGCTACTGCGAAATTTCCGTTGTATCAGTGCTTTCTGAAAACGTATTGTGTCTCTTTTTATGTGAATCCTTGTTGTGAGAGGAGGCGTAACTAGCTCGTATGGAAGGCCTGTCTCTTTGAAGACGGCTTGTAGTTGTTGCTGATGAACCTCTACTAGACATTTCTTCTGGTGGGAAATTAGCATTGTTGGAACTAACGGACGAACTATTTTGACGCGGAAATTCAGAAACCGAATGTCTCTGTGGATTGACTCTGGAACGCGGCGGTGTTCGTTGATAATGTATATTTGCTGCTTCATGAAACTTTTGCTTCGATTTTCGTGATTCTTCTTGATATTCCTTTTCCAGGTGTCTTAATCTCCAGGATGCAGCGGCAGCAGAAAGATTAGCAAAACTGGTGCTGTTACTGTGGAGATATAAATTCATTTTAAATCTTTTTATTTAAGCCTCTCAACATCTTAGTAGTATTTTATACAATTAAAAGTCATATGTTTCAACAACCAACGTCCTTTTTTAAAAACTAGTATCAAGTAATTAGGAATCCAAACAGAAACAGAATGATGAGCTTGACTTCAATTAGAAAAAAATCAAATTTCATAAAATATGTTTGACTTCAGCAATGCGCATCATTTGATTTACTATAAAAATATTTATTTACAATATCCTTATGATAGAATATGATATCATACACCGAATTAAATCTGTCTGCAAATAATCAAGAGTGATAAAGTGTTAACAAGAAATAAATAAACATCTTTTTTCAGCGTGCCATAACTTCTTTAAGGTCTATAGATATGTGATATGTGCTCGATACCTCGATGAGAAACCGACTACACTTCCCGTTCCTCTAGCTCCAATAATAAATTTGGGAGGAATCATAATCTCTGTTTGAACGACTCGATGTTTCATTTTCTCTTTTGATTTATGACCGAGATGATCGACGTATGTTCGTAACGAATGAAGTTCGCCTTCAACCTGTCACAGTAAATAATCACTGAAATCTGTGAGTGACACGGTAGTGGTATAAATTTGCTTATAAATTGACTCTGGCTGACGAAATATCTAATAAGACAAAAATTGAATTACCACATTATTATAACTCTAAGCCTAAGGACATATGAATTATTTAAATTTGGGCATCGATACGTAACTCATGTAAGTTAGTATTTGTCAAAAACTGTACGTATTTCGGATTTGAATAAACTCAGAACACTCGTCATTTTACAGAACCATTTTCGATCAAAGTGAGTATTTCGATTACAATTTTGTCAAAAACTAATTACATTACACCATTATGTTAAACACATTTTTATGAGTATTCACCTTGAGCGCAATAAGTTTTACGAACCGGCTGGTTATTAAGATATAAATTAAGTAACTCCTTCATTATCTTATAATTTGTTAAACGGGCGTAACTAAAAATGTTTCCTGACCAATAACTTCATTAGGAGGTCTATATTATTAATATAGTATTGAAGATAATAGTTGATGTTTTTCAGATTACTACCTACCTACCTATGGACATATATATACAGTATGTATCTATGATTCATGTTACATGTTCTAAATATATATACGTGTTTCCTTAGGCGCAGTTGAGCAGGTATACTCGATTTTCGGTGTCAACTACCCACCCCCGAAAACACAAATACAATCACTATAAGGATGTTATATATATATATATATATATATACATAACTTTACCTGAATTCTTCGACGCGATTCTTCATCAAATAACTTCTCCATCGCATGAATTTCTCTTCGTAAACCTTGAATTATTGTATCTTTTGATGAAATTTGATTTATTGCTTGATTTTTCATATCACCTGCGATCTAAAAAGTTAAAATATTTTATTCGGCGCCCAAACATTGAATGACATTGTATATTCAATACCAATGTACAAAGCAATGATCAAACACGTGGACTCGAAACAACAAAAACGGTTGTTGAACGATAACGAGCGTCGTTTGGGCTAAAGTAATGAATCTGCCTACCTTCACAAAGTCTGTCAATTTCTCTAATCTTTCTTGCAACTCTTCGTTTTCAGCTTTTAAATAGCCGATTGTTTTCTGCATTTCCCTTATATCTTTGAACTTAAAAGAACAATATAAAAATTACCAAACTGCAATGGAAAAATCAACGTGGAGTTGAGAAATGTCATTCGGAAGATATCACTGAATTGAAATTATCCAGATCAAATGAAGACGGAGCTTATTAGCAGTAATATAAAAATACATTTCTCATGATGAGCTCTATGAGCTAAATCTAAAATGATTTGTTGCGAAAAAACATCGACTTAAAGGGCAATGTACATACATTTCAAAACAAATTTGTTGCAGGACATTTTTTATGAATTTTGAAAGTGTTCTGGTGGCCGTTACAGGAGAAGCGCATAGAAAATGTTACGAACGGTCGGGAAGTAAAAACAGTTGAATATTACTTGATTGCCACCAGGGTTGTTTTACTAACTTTTTCTTCAACGAGGATAACGTCATAGATACATACGAAGCTGCTATCAACAATTCCGTAGTAAAAATATTAAATTGCTAACAAGAAAAAAAAGGTGTGGTGTGAGTATAATATATCGAATATTTTTTCAAACTCTGTTTGAACTCGTCTCGAAATAGATAGACTGCCGCAATTTACACCATCAAGTACGAGTGTAAAGAGCATTTAAGATACATATGGGCATACTTATTTGTCGGGGAATGCTGCTGTGCGTTGCATACTTTTTTGGTAGCGTACTACCCTATAAATAGATTGATTCAGATTTACAATTCATGTTGGATATAAAATACTTGTAATCCGTGTTTTTGAAAAATCATTAATTTTGCGAATAACAAATTAATTACTTTGCCGTCACGTTTTCTCTCTGATCTTGACGTTCCGCTACTCGAAATACTGTCACGATGCCTCGACAATCCTTTTTGTGAACTTTCATTTTGCTGCAAATTTTTCAATTGATTCTTGAGTTCTTGAATTTGTTTACTGCTTATTGTTTCGTGAAGTGTGAGCCGATCTCTCAAAGCTTCTTCTCGCTGCAATGATAAGATGAATAACGGAAGGGATAAACAAGTAAAGAAATATTATGAACTTATGAAAAGTGTAAGAGACACCAACGTCAAAGTGTGAATCTACATTGCATAAACGTGTTACGTTTAATAGGTGGGTACTTTTAGTCATTCTGATCAATAGCGCCTATACACTGCAACATCGCTTTCTTTTTAAACGAACACAATAATGATAGTTATAAAAAGTGAATTTTCACTCACTTCGTTCACGGTTATTCAAGTGGAAAACAGATTTCTAAACTACCAATTACGTTATTAAATTTTTAGTCGATACTTTTGAGAATAGCGAAAATAATGATTAGGTAAGACAGAGACTATTGAACTCAAAATTGCTTCTATTTTAAAAGCAATCGTTAAAAAACATATATAATTTTTAGATTTTAACATTTATTGCAGCAAAAATTGTATCGCAAATGTGTATATAGGCGATAAGGACCATGATTTGATTCTATGAATGGGCATCTGGGTCTAAATCGATTCACAGCTAAACGCTTAGACAGGTGAACTGCATGAGGTAATATCATTTCAATCACAGGTGTGGTACTTCAATAGTACTAACATCAGCTGAAATTAAATGGCTCATAAACCTGAAGTGCTCGCAAAGCTACCACAAAACAACAGGTGTCTGAATTCAAGTTGTGAAGTGTTTTTTTTCTTTTTTGATGTGATCATTACATCATACAGATAAATGGATTATGTACGAATCAGTAAAGATTTACCACTTCAACGATATAACTACTTTTTCCAGAATTCTTTATTTTGACAATTGTATTTTATGGAGTTTTCAAAATAAACTATGTATCTATCAAGATAACAGAACAGCTGCAGAAAGAATCATAATTTTAAACCGAATGTATAAGTTTTTCAATGATTTCGAAAAGATCCAATAAAAAATGGCTTATACGCTCTAATTTGGTTCACTGTTATGATGAATTAGGTTTATCAAGTATTTTCTGATGATATATGGCAAGTAAATCGATACTGGTCATTTTTTTCGTGATCAACCTTTGATTCAAATTTAAATCACTTCATCTCTTAACGCTGAATAGAAATTTATGTTTAGTAGAAGCGAAGGGAGTAAAATTGTTTTTGTTCCATTTTAGAATTTCCTCACAAAGAGACAAGCATATCCAGTGCTTGATCAAACAATTGACGCGGTGTGAATACAAGTCTAGACAGTAAATTGTAAATTAAATTAATAACCAGGCCTACATTTAAATTCGAATTCAGATATACATGGTACTTTCACGCGCCTTTAAACGTCTATACAACTCCACATTTGTTTACCTTGGACGCCTCTTCACGTTCTTTCTTCAATTGACGAAGTAATTGTTCTTCTCCCGACATTCCTTCCTCTGTTTCTCCGTCCTCATGGCCCATATGATTCTCTGCTCCCTTTTCCCTGCCATTAATCATTGGTCCTAACTCAGAAGTGGGGCCAAAGCTAACCCTCATAATTATACTTGTTTTAGTTATGACCTGAATATTTTTAGTTATGAATATTAATATCATGAGTTTAAACGTTTGATTACAATTTAGGATATTCTGCCATTCTACGATAAACCACAATAATCTATGATTGGCAAAAGTTTTTAATTGATTTAATCTAGCTAGTGAATACCTAAAGTTGACGATATTTAAATAAAGTAATTCCTACTCAGAACAAGCCAAAACAAGCATAGTTTAACGATAAACGTTTAATCAAGATACCTGTTTTCTCATGTTATACAAAATCCCTGCTTGATTAGGGAAGCTCCGATTAAAATATTCACATTATACCCGTTTGAATGATTGCAAATAGGACATCTAAACAATCTGAAGAGGGTCGATATATGTTCACACAATACACATAATTTATGAATGTGGTCGTTCAAACTCAATTCTCTTTAGTCAAGATTTACAACAAAAACAGAGTCACGCAACCCATTTACCAGAAATCAATTTAAAATTGCATTTATGAGTCTACCGAAAGAACATTGACAATAGCGTTAATTTTGAGTAAATTAGTAAAAGTAATTTCAAATTTAACAGTGAGTGCTTTCAAAAACGTATTCAGCACTTTTACATACCATCACTGATATAGACACATTTGAGCAGCAACAAATTTTAACATATCCCAGTGTCCTAATAATATAAGTAAAGTCTATATATCATTGGGAAAAGTTTACTTCCGAGATAACGCAAATCGAATAAAAAAAAACTACTTTTTGACAGAAATGTAGGAGAATGTCCCTTTCGGAAGTCAATATTTTGATCGAAATATTTTATTTTATTTGATAACTTGTTAAGACCTGTTCCCGGACAAGGATGCAAATCATTTAACATTATCTCGATTTACAGTAGTGTTTATTATGAAGAAAGATATTCAACTTTAAACTGATAAATAATACTTCCTCCCCTTTTGTCTCTAAATCTTTTTCTATTGCCCTAAACCATTATTCTGTTATTCTAACTTTGCTTAACCAGCCAAGAAGATTAGAATAATGAATGCCACGGCAATAGTTCCACGGAAGTGAAATTCCACGTATACATGTATATATTTATGGGAACATGATTATTATTCTAGCGACAAATATCGCACCGAGTCTTTGATAAACAAAGCATAATCACAATTTATGACTTTACATGAGAATGCCCAATAAAACCAGATGTGAGACACATTCGCTCTTTATATTTCCTTATGTATTACACACTAACTCCGGGTGACAATTGTGACGTAATTTATGTTCTAAACTGGTATACGGCTGTACTTTAAAGTGGGAATCATTCATTACGTATATACAAAATAGTATTATAGCAGAAGTATCATATCCATTTTAGAAGAATAATTTTTCTACTCCGAAATGGGACTGAATGGTGCTTTCAAACATAAATGGAAGAGAGATATTGCTCACAAAACACGAGTGCAAACATTATAATACTTGGTGCGTAGCTTACTCTCGTAATTCATAAGCAAACTAAAGGACCCTGACCTCGATATGATTAAACCAGGAGTCATTAAACTTCAATATATTTTATGTGTTTATCCATGGCATAAACCCATGGGATATTTGGAAGCCATAATAGCTTTCAGCCGTCGCGCCCACTTTTATGATGCTGTTTTTATACCCTGTTCAACAAGAAGATTGTACTATACATACCTTATACTAGAACGATTAATGTTCGTTTGCCCTCAGCAAATACCATAAAGCGTGATACCATGTTTACTCAAGTGTACGAATCGGGAAAAGTTGATCTATTGGCTAGCGAGGATCACGGTAAATGTGAACAAGGAATTTGGCAAACCCAGTACTATATAATAAAACAAGACAAATTTCGATGGATGTATTATTCAGTACGCCAATACCAAACAATAGATCACCCAAAACATTTCACTTATAAGTGTATGTTTAAAGATGTATATAAAACGAATGATATATAATTCATAGTTAGACATACAATTGCTAATTAGAGCCTACAAGTTGTTTTCTGCACTTATATTGTTTGTTACTCTCGATTGCTATAGGCTGTTGCAACAAGCTAGAACTTCTATAAGGCATAACCTAAAATTTTAAATTACATTCTCAATCTTCATATTAATTGAATCTTTTTTGGCAATACACAAAACAAACCGTGTCATAAAAAAATTTATTACTTTCGGTTCTACGACAACAACAAATCAACTGCAGAGAACGTTGTTTTATTTCTGACACAGTACTGCAACAACAGATTTATAAATACTGTAAGTGTTTACAGACAACAATTTTCTTTGAAGGTGAGACGAAAAGTGAAGAGAAAGAACGTGTCCTACGTGACCACCAAACATACCGTACTCAACAAAAAGGCAGAATGGCTCGCTCTGTTCAGAACAGTGTTTCTCAACATTTTTCTCTCGTGGCACACTTTCGTTTCACAAAAATTGTATATTTCATAAAATTTCTCATACAAGGAAAAACTACACAAAAAAAATTCTTTCCGAAAAAATAGACACTTTCACCTTAATATTTAAAATTACTATTTATTCCTAAATACACTCAATATTAGTTTATCACTTTTAAAATTCCCGTCATTCACGGATAAATAAATCGTGAAAATGTTTTCAAACCGTCAGGTTCTGAGAGGACAGCGCTTTAGAAATTGAAAATTTTCGACCATAATCCGGTTATTTGAAATATATTATTTCTAGCTTGGCCTAATTTAACAACATTGTAAATTATACGCGAAAGCAACTCCGATCAAGTCTGAGAAGCCATACATGTAGTGCATTTACCTTGTCTGCTTTCTAAGATAAAAACGCCTGTGCCCGATAAAGTGAAACTGTAGCTGTTTTGCTGCAATAAATCTCATTCTCTCGCGAACAGCTATTGAGAAGAATGACAGAGCGACCAAAACTGAAATAGGCGATGGCGATTAACTGTTGATGTATTGTTGGAGTTCAGTCCGTGAGGTCCTCTGTTAACACAACACAAAGAACATTTGAGTTAGACCTAAATAAACAATATTCGCAGAACAAAAAGTAAGATGGACGTAGCATATTGTTCAGTTTACCACAGCTGAATGTTACGTCAGTTTAATCCCTTCTTAGAACATGTTTACTTCGATAAGTACGTGTTATTCAGCCGAACTAAGGAATCTTTTTTTCGCAGTTATATAAATGAAAAGGGTCATGATGGAGACAACAAACCGCGCGAATTTTTGTATGTCTAACTAGTAATATGATTGTATAACAAAAAATTGAATTTTTTGATAAAATATGTTACAAATTGTGTAGTTACGATGAGATTCAGATATTTATTTTCTTCGTGCCTAACCAATATATGCGAAATGGAATAGGAAATAAATAAAAGACACGATACTGTCAAAATAAACTTTGATTGATTAGCCAGTGGTTCCCAACCTTTCTACCCTGACGGACCGGTAAAATTAAATTAAATGTACTCGCGGACCGGCAAAAATTGAAATGACCGGAACATAAAAGAATAACATATATTTGCGTAATACAATGCAATGTCGGGCACTCAATATGCATCTAGACAAAAAAGGCACACTCAAAAACAGCTCACACGAAGAAAAACTATCAAATAATGTGCCGACCAAAAATATTTGCGTAATGAAATGCAGTGCTGGGTACCCATTATCCTTTAGAAAGGCACACATAAAACATCTCACAGAAGAAACATGTAAATGCCAAATCATGTACAAACGCAATTAACTCTAGTGAAATTTTGCTGCTGTTTAGTTCCCAATATAGGATTGCAAACGATGCCTCAAGGAAGTTTCTGCAACACGTAGCCCTGCAGCGCCGTGCAGCCAATTTCCTTGCTTCGCTTTAATTAAAGCTAGTAATAAAATATAAGTAAGTAATAAAAATATAAGTAACTCGTTGAAAATACGGACAATTGGTTGACATCTCGATTACTTAGCGATGGGTATTCGTTATCAAGAGATATCCAAAATTGTGACAGTGATTCTTTTTTAAATCTGGACTGTAAAGTAGAATCACAATTTGAATCAAGCTTTTTCATTGGGTTTATCATATTAATTCCTCTGCAGTTGATACATGCTTCAAACAGGAAGAATTTGCATTACAATGACAAAGTCGTCGGTAATTTGGCACCAGGCTCAAAATCCTACTTTGTCTGCTCAAGATACTGAAAAAGATCTCAGCGGCCCATGCTGTTTTGCGCTCCTCGTGACCACCTGCCATATTTTACTGGACTTTTCTTGACTGTTTTTTGGTTTGAACAAAGAAATATGCATAGCGTTCTATTTGGAGGGTCATATTAATCAGGAAAAGCATGCAGTACAGAAAAAGCACGCGTGCCAATTTTTAGGTTTCTGAATCTTGCGAGATGATGATGGAGCGCATTCACGATGAATCGTAGCCGAAAAAGCAAAAAGTGTGATTCCTTGGCGCCAAGATGTCGCGAAAGACGTCGCAATATGACGGCGGAAGAGAAATTGCGTAATAAATCAATCTAATTTTTCTTCCGAGGCGGAAAGTGGAAGCATTGCATCAATTGAAATTTTGTTGATTGCTCCGTATCGTCACAGATGTCGCACACTTGGGTGTAGGCGTACTTTTTTATTATAGTGAATTTTGTTTATGAGCACGAAATATCTTAGGTTATTCTGACTTGGAATTTGATCATTCATAGAGTAATAATAAAATGTAACGCAAGTTTACGGACAAGTCGAAGATAAGAAGTAAGTGTACTATTTTATTGCACAGCTTTGCTTAAAAATATCAACATTTGTTCTGGACAACCTCATTATGACGTTTGCCTGAGTCATATGATATATTTATGTATAACAATGGACAAACGCTTTTATCCGCATTTCAATGCAGAACGAATAGTTGAGCTGTCAATGTTTTTGTGGTGGCATATCCTTCGGATTTCCAAAGTTGCAATTTTTGTATTATCATTTTTTTTGCCTTTTGATCTACAACATAATCTAACAACAGAAAGCAACTGTTTTCCCTGCCGCCGACACCATTGT